CCATCATCACCCCTCTCTTATATTAAAATCCCTAAGTCCATAATTACACATCAATATCTAACATGTGGTAGCAATTGTTGTCAATTGGCTTGCAAAGAAGGTTCATTTGTGATTAAAAGAGCTTATTTGATTAATTAATCCTTTGTTTTAGGACATTAATGATAATATTTGGGATTAATAATGGCAATGGAAAGGAATGGTTTTTAATTAAACGAAAGCATCTCCTTGCATAAAAACAATTATTATGAAGAAAAACTACTACAATAATTTAGATTTTGTTTTGAAACAATTAATATATACCACTTCTATTTAATAATTAAGACAACTAAATCACATTGAGAGTACCTTTTAACTACTAACTTTTTCTTTTAGTGAGTACCACAGGCACGATTTGCTAGTAGTTAAACTATCCCATTCAGTATTGATTGAAATTAATGTAGCCGGGTCACTGGTTGGTGCAAATTTATGGTGTATTTGCAATTTTTCCTCTCTTTTTTTTTCCCCTCTATTTGTCCAAAAATAATTGTTATTTTGTTATTTTAATTTTATCGTAAATTAATTTTTTTTCATTTATAAAGTAGATAAATATATTTTTCTTATTTAATCATATTATTATTTATTTTAATTAATTATCCAATTACAAAAAAATCCTTTTTTATCTTTTATTTCTTTTTTAAAGTATTATAAATAAATACAAATATTATCACTCAATCCTTGGTTTGGGAAGAATTTTAAAAAAATAAGTATTATTTTTAGATAGAGGTAGTAGGGGTTTTTTTAACATGTAATAAATACATACTTTCGTTATAAATTGGTATTAAAAACAAAAATTAACTTTTAATTTACTAATTATTTAATTAAATTTATTTACTTAGCACTAACACTAGCATTAATATTAGCTTTTATATTTGTTTGTATATATTTATAATAAAAAGACGCTTATAAAAGATATAAATTTAAAAAAAATCCTTCTTTCAAAAAGGAATTTGTCTAAATCTACATATTTAAAGATATATTAAATATATTTTTTTATCATAAATTTATATTAAGAAATAAAAATTAATATTTAATTTATTAATTATTTAATTAAATTTATTTATTTAATATCAAAATTAATATTTATTTTTATATTTATATATTTATTTATAATAATAAAAATACTTTTAATTCGTATTTTGAACACACATACTAAAAAAACCTTTAAGAAATGCTGCGGGCCAACAGTACACATGCACCGTGGGAAAAGCTCAAGCGACTTAACGCAAACGGAAGCTGTAAAGTGGAGTATATACATGGCTACACCCACACTCATAATTTCCCTTCTTTTATTTTACTATATTTTTTTCTTTATGTGGAATGGCCATGCTTTCTGTGGGACTACCGAGATTCAATGGGCACAAGGAGGTCCTACTTCCGAACAAAGCAACTCCATGTTTTTGTTTTCAATTGAATTTACATATTCTATATATATTTAAAAAAAAAAAAAAAGAGTTCGAATTTCTCTTCTTCAAATATAAAAAAATAAAAATTAGAAAAAAAACATCAGAAGTTTGAGAAACATGTTAAAGTATTCAACCCAAAATTATTCGGTTCGGTGAAGATGGTTATTAGTGAGTGTAGAGCGAACTAAGAATTTTGTTAATTGCCAATAATTGTTTAGAAGCAATTATGATAAAAGATACCTAAAAAAAATGTAGTCAAGAAATTGGACCAACTTGTTAAAATTAAGCCAAATTGAAAATGATGTAAAATAGTTCATCAGCATATGTTAATTGAAAGAAGAAAACAATATGAATATGTTAATCCAAAAGTAATAATTTATGCATTGAATTTCACATGCCAAAAAAAGTATGCTGAAAACATTTTACTCATTGATCATGCTGTCCTGTTGCAACACACATTATATCAAGGGCCGACAAAATTTTGATTTAACTTTTAATTTGTTAGGTTCGGTTTACAAATTATTTTTCTTAATTATTGAAAACTGTGCATGTGGGCTTAACACAAGACTTGCATCCAACCTAAAACCAATTGGTAATAGGTGAAGTAGCCCTCCTTGTATTTAACCCACAAGCTTCTTATTTTTATACTCGATGTGGGATTTTCCCACTTAACACGCCCCTTCACGTGCAGACCCGCTATGAATATAGGGTCCTGTCACGTGAGTTAACACGCCCCCTTAAATGCAGGCCCGGTATCAACTTCGGGTCCTGTCAGGTGGGCTAACAACGGGCTTCCCATGGTAAAACCTGAGCTCTGATACCATGTTAGAAACTGAAAAGAAGGAGAAATATCTGAAGAAATGTTTATTGCTTTCTTGAATTATATTGTATGTACAATGACCTATATATAGGTGTTTACAAAGAGAATATTCTAAGGTATAAAGTATACAAAGAGAATATTCTAAGGTATATATAGGTGTTTACAAAGAGAATATTCTAAGGTATAAAGTATACAAAGAGAATATTCTAAAGTATAAAATATTTACAATAATTCTAAATATAATTATGTTGGTATCAAAGCTATAGCTCTTGGTTCTTTTCTCTTATCGTCGCTGTTGGTTTTTTTTTGGAGTTGGATTTTCAATTCCATTCCAGATCTAACACTTTGTCATTGGGATCTCTTCTCATACAGATTGGATTGTTTATCCTTGATTCTCAGACCCTTTCTGAGGTATTTTGTTGGTTTGTTATTTCGATCTTGGCATCTATTTCTCCATATTTTTAGAGTTTTTCAGTGTTGTGAGTTTACTGATTCTATGACGAGTTTTGAAAGGATTGTAACTTATCCTGCTACTGCTACGGTTGCCAAAGAAGTGATAGAACAACCTAATGTCAACCTTGAATCCCTAAAACAGGTGATATTAAATCTTTTTAATGCTCCTACTGCCTTATCTACTGCTCCGGGTACCAAACCTTGGTATTTCGATTCTGGTTGTTGTAACCATATATGTCTTCAATTACTGCTCATTTCTCTTCAATGTCACCTAATAATTCTTTTCCTGATATTTATTCTGCTAATGGTTCCCCTATGAATGTTAGTCACATTGGTAATGTTTCTACAAAGTCATTGACTTTACCAAATGCCCTTTTAGTTCCAAAACTTAGTTATAATCTTCTATCTGTCGGTCAATTATGTGATCTTGGTCTTGAAGTAACATTTTCTGCTCATGGTTGTCGTGTGCAGGACCCAC